TTTATTTATTTATTTATTTTTTTAACCAATACATGCTAAGGCAATGCGTCCGCGATGTAACAAATATCTTGGGTTTCTACTCTCCTTGCTATGGAAAAATGGAAACAAAGTTCAATTGATCTTATGCAAATGAAAATCAGTTCACTACTTTAACAAATATTTATTTATTTATTTATTTATTTATTTATTTATTTATTTATTTATTTATTATTAATCCGTTCTTACTGAAAATTCTCTAGTCTGATAATAAAAGAAAATAATGACTGCATTTTAAGGCATTTTGTAAAAAATGAAGCAGTTATTTTAATCAAATATCTATGATTAAAAGGCATCGTACCAGAGAGGTTATGTTTTTGTTTTTCTGATGGAAATTCATCTGTGTAGTAATAGGATATGATTCAAGTGTTAAACTTTTCAATTTCTACTCTACAAAAAAAGCTATACCTGACAGAACTTTTGATCACATCTGTGATCTTCTTCAGTGTGATGTCATATGGGACTATTACTGCTCACCAGTGCTTTGGTGATTGTGTTGTCCCAAATTTGTGACAATGAATAGAGATGGGGGGGAGGCACCAATTGTAAGCAGTGATCATCCCATATGACATCACACTGAAGAAGATCACTGATGTGATCGAAAGCTCTGTCAGGTATAGTTTTATTTTTTAGCGTAGAAATTGAAAAGTTTAACAATTTAATCATGTTTTTGTGTTGTTTATCCGTTTATCTGTAAGCAACATTATGGAAAAAGTTTTGAAAAGAATCTGATAAAATTTCCATGAACTGTCTGTAGTGAAACAATTGAAAAACAATTAGGTTTTGGTGAACTATTTATCAGGTAATGGTTAATCATTAGTTAAACATACTCTATATAGGATTTACCTGCCAAAATGAACTTTTCTAGGGAAAAAAGCAGGGGCGGATCGAGACCGTCTTCTGGGTCTTCGGGAAGACGGTTAGATTTTCAAGTTAACATTGACGGGTATCTGACTTTTTATGTCGGAAGACGGTCAAAAATGGAGGATCAACTAAGAGCGGATTCTCAACGAATTGAGCCAGGCTTTACAAAGCCGGTGACCTAAAAATGGCGGACGTACATGAAAGAAAAATGCCTAATCTTTTAATAGTCTCTCCGCCTCCCCACACGTCGTCCCTGCGGGATACAGTAATTAAATCTCGGCTCCGTTCGCCATGCGGAAGCTACCTGAGAAATGAATATCTCTGGTGATATTATCTCCATAGATAGTCGATTTGTTGCTGCTCTACGGGCCAATTCATTCCTTTTTCGTCTCTGTTTTGACAGATAATAAAACAGAAGAGCTTTTTTCCTTCGAACGCCTTCAGCCGCCATGCTTTCTTCACCATGAGTTTAACTGATGAGCTTGCGCACTTAATATTTCTCAGGTAGCTTCCGCATGGCGAACGGAGCCGAGATTTAATTACTGTATCCCGCAGGGACGACGTGTGGGGAGGCGGAGAGACTATTAAAAGATTAGGCGGTTTTCTTTCATGTACGTCCGCCATTTTTAGGTCACCGGCTTTGTAAAGCCTGGCTCAATTCGTTGNAGCTTTTTTCCTTCGAACGCCTTCAGCCGCCATGCTTTCTTCACCATGAGTTTAACTGATGAGCTTGCGCACTTAATATTTCTCAGGTAGCTTCCGCATGGCGAACGGAGCCGAGATTTAATTACTGTATCCCGCAGGGACGACGTGTGGGGAGGCGGAGAGACTATTAAAAGATTAGGCGGTTTTTTTTCATGTACGTCCGCCATTTTTAGGTCACCGGCTTTGTAAAGCCTGGCTCAATTCGTTGAGAATCCGCTCTAAGATGATTTGGAAGACTGTCAGAAAATATATCTGGACCCGCCCCTGAAAAGCATTTTTTTCCTTCTCATGAATAATTCCTTGACCTGTTCTTCCTATTGAATTCTACATTTTATTCCATTTTTAATTTAATGTTTTAGTTCTAGATGACTCCCATTTCTTTTGGAATGCCATGTGTTCCTGTACATTTCAGAATGAAATTTTACTAATTTTGAGGAGCTTTACAATTTTATAGTTGAATACAGGTCTAAATTGGGAAAGAATAGTAGCTTTGCAGGTATGTAGATATAAAAAATATGACTGTAGGTCCTATTTAAATGCAGAGATGCAGATAACAGGCCACATGTTATCTGGGGAGTTAACCAAACAATAAAAATAAATAAATAACAAACAAATAATTGTGTTTTTCAACATTCATTTTATTTTAGACTAGCTGGTAATAATTAAAAATTAGATTGAAAATTAAATTATGAGTCCTGTTTTCAGTTATCTTCAGTTGTTGATCAACAATATTGTCTTAAGTCTGAAAAAAGAAGAAAAAAGTCCATATGTAAAAATAATATAATCAAAACTTATGTCAGCAGCTAACAAAGTTAAGATTTTCTCAAAGATGTAAGTAATTATTTGATCAATTTTATTTTGTTTATTTATATATATATATATATATATATATATATATATATATATATATATATAAGAGTGTATGGTAGACTCTACATAACTTGTCACTCAAAATCTTTTACTTTTTTGTGGGACAGATTTAACTCAGTATCTTGAACAAACCATCTGGGTCAGATTCCTTTTTAAATTTTCCTAAGCTATTGGCATTGCAAAACTAAAATAATCAAGTACTATGAACTTATTGCACTCAAATAATGTTAAACATCAGTTTAATTTCTACATGTATGCCTAATGTATGTGGTGAAATCACTTAAACTTGACATATTTTCTCAACTTACTTAATTATTATCTTTGCCTCCTTCGCCTAAAACATGCAGTGACCATGTTCAAAAATCTCCTGAACCGAGAGACTCTTCTCTGTGGGGTCTCTGAAATTAATGAAAATATTTAATCATGAAAATTTATTGACTAGTATTTACCAATAAGAGCCAGGAGAGGGGAACCTCTTTCAGATACATAATGATTAGATGAGATAATTCTCAGTTGGATGTTGAGACAAACATTTAAATTTTCAAGTATATTATGTCGTACCTCTGTTTTTCATGTCCTGCACAATGTCTTGGGCAATGGCTTAAAAAGAAAGAAGAAAACAAATTAACATATCTTGTACCACTAGGCACAGATTGGCATGGAGAGCTGTTTCAAATACCTTTAACATACACAGGTACGTATCTAGTTAAATTACATTCAAAATTCTGTAATAATGATATACAAAGTTTATTATTCTTATGATTCACTGATTTTGGAGTTTTATCCACAACGGGTCTATTCTTATACCTATGTGCAAAATTTTGTATTTCAAAAACAGTTTAGATGGAATGTCATTTGGAATGTCATTTCCATTTAAAATTGCTTAGTTCACATCTACACACAATCCGTTGCTCAGCTACCACATTTCAACAGAATTCTTGCATTTGCTTGTGTATGTTAAACCTATCTATCAGTATGACTGGTAATAGTGCATCCTATAAAAATCATTAAAGTGTAAAAAGAGGGAAACATACAGGGAAAGTATCAAAATTAACTAATATTATTTCTAGTGGATATAAGTGGAATGAATTCTTTGTACATTATTTTCAACCTTTAGGGTCCCAATTTTGAAACAAATTGTGGCTATTACTAAGTTTCAAAAATAGATGCTTATTGAGAAATATTTTGTCATTCAATATCTTGAACAAATCAAGGGGGTCTGATGTTTTATATGTAAAGTTATGGGCATTGCAAAACTAAAATCGTCAAGTAACACAAACTAATTTTCCAATCCCAGAGTGTCCGAGGTATGCAAAATCTACTGTCTGCACTCAAACAATGTTGAACATCAATATAATATTTGGTCAATGAGGGATTTTTTCAAAATAATAGAAGTGTCGAAACTAAAAAACACATTCTCACCACCATCTGTCTCATTTACATCTTTTGGTGCTTCTTGCTTTTCATTCACTACTTGCTGTTTAGTGTCAGCTGAAAAACAATGGCATAAATTTAAATGCAGGAGATATTTTAATGGCTGTCGTAATTTACAAAAATGATAAGTTACCATGTAAGGTGATCCAAACTAAAAATTCTATTCAAATTTAGGATTTGTTTCAATAATAGAGATGTCAAAACTAAAAAGTATATTCTTACCACCACCTGTCTCATTTCCATCTTTTGATGCTTCAAGCATTCCATTCACTACTTGTTGCTTAGTGTCAGCTGAAAAACAATGGCATAATTGCAAATACATATATTCAGGGCTGCCTTAATTTTTTAAAAAATGTAATGTTTGTGTGTTAGGTGATGCAAGCTAAAATTCTTGTTCAAATTTAGGATTTGTTTAAACTATGGAGATGTTGAAACTGAAAAGTTTATTCTTACCATCATCTATCTCACTTCTATCTCTTGATGCTTCATGCTTTTCATTCACTACTTGCTGTTTAGTGTCAGCTGAAAAACAATGGCATAATTTTAAATGCAGGAGATATTTTCAGGGCTACCTTTTATTAAATATGAAATGTCACTGTATAAACATGGTGATCCAAACTTAAAATTCCTGTTCAAATTTAGGATTTGTTTAAATAGTATAGAGGTTGAAACTTAAAAGTACAGTCTTACCATCATCTGTATCATTTCCATCTCTTAATGCTTTGCAAGTTTCATTCAATACTTGCTGCTTAGTGTCAGCTGAAAAACAATGGCATAATTTTAAATAGGAGATATTTTCTGGGGTGCCTTGCTTCAACTGAGTAGGTGAACTAAAAAAATATTTCTGTCTTGAATGAAAATAACTTAAAGCTTCCGTTGGGTACATATGAGAAATTTATTTGAGCCCTATCATGAGTAATTAAATTCCAATGCATGGAGTATTTTGTGTTGAAAATATGGGCTTAGAAATTGCACAGCTTTCAGTCAAAAAACATTTACATGTCTAGCTGCTGGCAGTTTTGACACAGTTCAGTCTGTCTTCTACAGACTGTTTTTTTTTTTTTTTCCCAACCACAAGAATTAATTTGGTATCAGAATAACAAAGAATAAAGCACTAGTCTACTACCATCCATCTCCTTCTTATCCTCTCCTCCTACAGAAATGTGGGGTGTTTTTCCCAACATGGTGTAAACTGAAAAAAAAATTTAGAATAGAACACAGGAAATATCTGCAAAGATCCTGACAGTGAAAAATTGTCATCTGTTCTGATGACAACTGAAAATTTAAAGTCCTTCAATTTATAAACCCTACAATTAATTTTGACATAAATTTTATCATAATGTATTATTGCCACCCGAGAGAACAGTTTGGTGAATTGTCAATATTCTTACATCAAATTATTTATAATAGCTTTATCTTGTGTAATTATGTTACTTTGCATGAGCTGATATATAAGTTACATACCACTAGGGGTGGGGTTGACATTCCACTCTGGAATAAAATGGTTGCATTGCATAATATCATTTAATTCCACATATTTCTTTGCATAAATGTTCAGCAATTATATTAATTCAGTAAAGTCAAACACATTTATTTATACGTGAAGGAAGAATAAATCTTCTCAGATGTAACTTCTTATACATATTTTACGTGCTTGAATCACTGAGGACGGGAGAAATTATTAAAGTGAAAATAAAAGGATAAAAAATGTAACAATAATACAAAGCTGACTTTTTTTTTTTTTTTTTTTTTTGCTATATGGGATACTTTAGAAAGCACTAGCTCACCTTTGATCTCCATATCTTGTGTTCCCCAGGAACACTTGATCATCATCCCATCCAGTGAAGTTACCTTTATGATCCGGTTTATATAAGGTTTTGGTTCCCACACCATGTTTTTATAGGGTTCATGGCAGTAGGGCTGAATTACAATACCATAAATATACCATACTCATAAACAGATAGGAAAGTAACAATATATGATGAGCATTAGCCAAAATCAGATGAATTCAAAAAGATGCGCTTTTGATATTCTTTTCCACCAAAGTGTTCATTTAAATAGAAAAAAATTAGTGTAGAACACGATGACACATTAACTCCTTTTCAGTATGTTTATTACTTACATTTACTGGTCGCACCAGCTTAAACTCTAGCACTGAATGTTTAGGTGCTAAAAATGACATCCTGTTATTGGCAGGTTCTTGTAGTGTTCTTTCCAGGTGTTTCCCTTTTTGGGGGTTCCAGTCTCCCAGGACTGGCCCCTTTCCCACCATTTTGATGCCCTTAAATTTATTATCCACCAAGACAATATGCACTGTGGCCTTTGCTGTTGAAGGAACAATAATATGAATATTGATAATATTATATAATTATCTAAATGCCATTTGATCCTCACTATTTGTAAAAATAAATGAAGGTTTGTTTAGACAATACCAAATGAAAATCAAACCAATCTAATATTCAGGCTATGCTTTTGTTGAAATATGAGTACTTCATTAAAACCCAGCAAAACCTCCCTGAAAATAGGTTCGTGCATGCACGCCAGAAGCGGATTTAGTGGGGGG